TGGAATTTTATTTTGGGCATTCATATGTAGTGAAACAATTAATAATCTGCCTCCACCATTTGTATAAAGACAACATATGATTGACGAATTGACAATTAATCAGCCGAACTGTCATTAAGCTAGCAAACCAAATGGTACCAGTTTATGTTTGCAGAGTTTAGATTTGCTTTAGAAGGTGGTTTAATGTGAAAGACGAACTTGCTTTCTTCATCTCATTTTTGAGGAGGGAGTAGGCACAGAACAGTGACATTCCTCAGCATGAGTCTGAACACAGTGAGGTGGGTCTGTCTGTCTGTCTGTGTGTCTGTCTGTCTGAAGGCCAGCCTCACAGCACCTCGAACCATCGAGCTTCCAGGAAAAGACAGAAAGGATTTGGCAAGTGAGAGCACTGCGGAGTCAATGGTTTAGTGGTCCGCGGCATGGTGACCTGGGCCAAACTATGTACAGCTCTCCAGACAGAAGAGAAGAGGAAGAAAATAAGGAAAAGGAGATTTAGCCTGATTAAAACCAAATGTTTTTCTTTAAACTCATCTAGTATGAGCTCAAGATGGTTAAACAGGTACAGTGGGTATGAGACAGAGGATTCATCAATATTATTGTTATTCTGTTACCCAAGCAGCAGGAAAAAATGTCTAAAATATACAGAGAGTAGGAATTAAACATACCATATTTATCCTAAATATGATAATGCTGGGTTATAATTCATTGCAGACTTTCAAAATTAACCTGTGTTTCCAAAATACATTTAACACAATAGTAACACACTGTAACTTTGGCGGATAATCAAATAAACACACAATCCGCAAGGTTCAAGTTTCTGAATCCTGAGTTCCTGAATTTATTTTCAGGGCATTTTAAAATGAGTGGAAATAAATAACAGTCTGGAAAAGTACATTCCAATTTATAGAATAAAGGTTTAAATGGAAGCAGACAAAAAAAAATCAACAAAAGCAACTGTTGACAACAAGAAATTATAATAATCTTTACTTATAAAGTGTTTTTCAAAAGATATAGCCAGGAGAGAGACCATGAAGAGCCTTAAAAGTAATCAGTAAAATCTTAAAATCTAAAACATACTGGAAGCCAGTGTAAAGAGGCTGTGGTTTGCATTATATGGGATAAAAGAGGTGACGACATTGGTGTGATCTTGTTAAAGTTCTTCTACTAGCATTGATTAAACCCTCACTAACTCATCTCTGCTCATCAGAATTACATATATAGAAGGTTTTTTTTTTCATCACAAAAATTCCCTCATGCCTGAAAATTGTATTAAATGAAACTCTTAACCTTTGCCTCATTTAGTATGGGCAAATCTGTTAATGTGCAAATGAGTATTTGCCTCTGTCTTCATTGCTCGCTACATCAGAAATGCAACAGTAATAAGTAGAATGAGCTTAACTATGTTATCAAAGAGCTTTTATGGTAGTTCAGTTAGAAACACTTTTGTCATAGATATAACCATTTATTGTAACAAATGGAAATAAAGTTATGTTTGGCACTGAGGGCTCCGCTCTTGTGGTGCTCCCTGGATTAGTCAAGCAGCATGCTAAGCCAAAACAGGGAGCACAATGCAGAAAACCCCACCAAGTATACAAGAGTGGGCCCAAGCACGACCTTAAATACCATTAATCCTTACAGCCATGTTAGGACTCTGAGTTAGAGAGGTAGAGGCTGGGGTGGTAGAAATGGCAGCAGCAGCAGCAGCAGCAGCAGCAGTGTAGCGGGGATCAGTGAATAGGAAGCCATATTTCAAATGTAGGCTACTGTGACTTAGGTTGGATACAGGAGCAAACTGCAGTTGGTTATTTGTCTTATTCATTCTCTCACACTGCTGTCATATTTTTTCTCTTAACTCATCTATTTAGTACAGCCAAACGCACTGGTCAATTGCGCCACAGAGACATTTGTGGCTCTTAAATGAGGGGGTGTGGCCTCAATATTTGCCCCTCCCACCAGCATTTTGCGATTTACTTCTAGAAGTCAGGCTGGTTAACATGGCAGAAACGTAAAACTGAGCATTAAGCATCAGCTTTTTGGTCTGTTTCATGGTTGCTAATGCTAGTCTAATCTTACTTACACTAAAGTTTAGGTTACGAACATACTGCTATTGACTTTGCGTCATAAATTCTGTCTGAATCACATTTTTTCTGCTGGTTTCACAATCTTTTTCACCTGGACAGGAAAACTACAGTAGCATAACCATTCACATAAAATTCACCTGGTTAAGAACAACACGTCCCTGGGTGGGCTTGAACCACCAACCTTTCAGTTAACAGTCGAATGCACTGACCAATTGCGCCACAGAGACAAGCACACCTTAGGGCTCATTTATGCTCAATGTTAAATACGGATCCAGATACGGACGGAGCCTTCTGTCCGTGCTCTGTGTTCATTTCGTCCGTATTTCTGCACGTTTCCATAAAGCTTACAGATAGGGGCCAAACTCGCCTCCTACAACGCTGCCTCTGTTTTTGTCTTTTATGCAAGAGGTACATTATCAATATCTCCTCCACAGTTGCCATGTTTGTTTTTGAGTTTGTTGTTGTCATAAACTTTTGACGCTGGGCTGCCTCCTGGAGGATATATTGGTTAACATCCATGGCAACGTAAAGGACGCATGGAAGTATGTGGGCAGTGACGGTAACATCGTTTGAAACGGACGTATACATTTTCGTACGTAAAGGGAGCATAAATGAGCCCTTCGACTTGAGGGGGTGTGGCCTAACTCTATAAGCCCCTCCTACCTGTATTTGCTATTTACTTCAGGCTGGATCATATAACAGAAATCTCAATCATGGCATCATGAACTGAGAATTCATATCACCTTTTTGGTCTGTTTCCCGTTGTGAATGTCCTGAATTGAGAGGTATAATGCCGCTAACACTGCTTCCTAAATTTATATGTTCCTCAGTTTATTTTCCTGCCTTATGCAGACATTTAGAATCTAATGGTGAGGGATATTTTCATTCCAATTTTACTCTGCTATCAAATTCAATTAGTTTAGATAAAAGAAGATACTGAAGTGAACAATCTCTCCCACTGCTGTCTGAGTCAAACTTTTGCTCCTTGTTTCTTAACCAATAGCACAGTGGCAGCAACTTCTGTGTTTATATTAAGTCACATTGACTTGAAGAACACGTCCCTGGGTGGGCTCGAACCACCATCCTTTCGGTTAACAGCCGAACGCGCTGACCAGTTGCGCCACAGAGACAAGTTCAGTTACTTGTGAAGGGGGTGTGGCCACAATAAATATGCCCCTCCCACCAGCATTTCTGCTATTTACTTCTAGAAGTTGGACTGGCTAAGAAGGCAGAAACTTTAGACACTTGAATCGTGGCATTGTAAACTGAGCATTGAGCATCAGCTTTTTGGTCTGTTTCCTGTTGTGAATGTCCTGAATTTAGATGTGTAATATTATATAACACTTATTCCCAATTGCCAGCTCTGACATGTAGAAGTTAAAGTGAAACTTGCAAAATACAGATCTGTAGCTACACCAGGCCTCTCCTCTGATACCTCTTGTTTTGCCATAGCGTTATGCTAACAATATGGAAAACTCATCCCCACAAATTGATGAGATTGGTTCCTTATATGTGTGACATCACAAACCCCAGTCTGGTTTGAGACTGTCATTGGTACACTGCAGTTCCAGGTTGGAGATGTTCAGCCATAGTGCTGACTGTTGATTTTGCTCATATGTTTTGTTGCACATAAAAACACCACATGGACATGTTAAAAAGATTAAACATTTGGTTTTCACTGGAGGTTCTTTAAGTTCAAGTTTAAGTTTAACTGGCTCCTGTCTGGGTTAATTTCCCCTTTTGACTGTAAATTTGACAGGTTAATGTAAAATATAGCGTCTACTAATTACACCTTTAACAGACAAACAGTTACAGATGGTTTGATGTCATGTTGGCAGACAGACACAAGGAACATACAGAACAGATTATCTAAGAACCTTATACAGGTGCAGGAGAATCTTGGAGTGATCTGAAAACAGGAAAAGCAACATCAGAGGGAGAGTTGTTGCATTATCAGACAGCCAATTGTCCAGACTGAGAAACGGACTCAGCTGTGCTGGCAGCACAGAGCGGAGGATAGAGACAGAGAGACTTAAAGACACTAACAGAGAGCTACAACAAACCTCCTCTTTCTTCCAGGGAGCCTTTCTAGTGTGCTTTTATACTCCTCCTCACATCCTCTTTGTCTCATTTTAGTTTCTGCCACATATACAGTGTCATGGTGGAAGCCCACCAGCACTAAAACTATCTCTCTCGCACTCTTTTTAAGACATAGCTAAAGAAAACTTTTGGGTGTGGTGGCCTCTTTTGGGAAACTATTCTCAGTTGGCCCACCCTACCTGTTCGCTGAAAGGGGAAACCCTACACCACAGTATTTTTTTGTTCTTATAACCACTTTGAATTTTATCAAATTCACTTTCTTACATCAGCTGACTTGTCAGTACTCACCCATTTGTGCATGCAGCTATCCTGATGGGAAACAGGGCAGATCCTTTTCATCTGACAGTGATTATGAGAAACGGATGAAGGAGGGATAAGAGGGAGGAGAGGACAGAAGAGGAGTTTTGCGTTATGTTGCCAACGCTATCACTCAGCACTGCAGCCAGATGAGGGGGATTGTCTGGTTGTCTGAGTCAGTGTCTGAGTTGTTGTCCAAGATGGAGTCACTACTAGGGTGGGACTGAAGCAGGACACCAGGAGTTGGAGCAGATGACGGGGGGACATGGTGCGGTTCTGTGGCACGTCCCTTTTGCGAGAAATGTGCATGTTAGCTGACACTGTGGGGATGAAAGTGACATGTAATTATGTGTTTATCACTGAGCGGATCCATCTTAAGTGGAGCAATTACATTAAATGACTCTCCATGGTGATTAGTTTCAGCAAAGCCACAGAGGCAGATCCAGCCCAGAGCAGAGATTATGAATGAACTATGGGGTCGTAAAGGTAACACAAACTCTGACTTTTCCCCTCCACTGACAGGTCCCGCCATGTCTCCACCAACTGCTGCCAAAAATCAGCCCTCTGTACGGCGGGCCACCAGGGTGGACAGAACAGCTCGCCCACAGGGTGTATCTAATACCAGGACACACAGGAGGGCCCCTCAGTCCTCATCAGGTCCTAGGCAACCTGAGAGAGCTGTGGCAGGAGCTCCCCCACTTGAAAGGAGACGCCAACACCACACGAAACCTCAATCTGACCAGAGAAACCGAAACACACCCAAACTAAGTAAGAGGACTCACATTTTACTCTCTTAAAGGTCCAGTGTGTGGGATTTAGGGGCATATACTAGAATAGAAACTAATAAGTCTGATTTCTTTAAAAGAATTGTTGTGTTTTTGTCAGCTCAGAATGGGCCATTTTTATCTACATAGGGAGCGTCCTTGTCTGCAAACTCTGCCATGTTTATCCACGCGAGCCAAACAGCATCAGAGAAACACTGATTTAAAACATGAAATGCTATAATCAGTGTAATAACCAGTTTTAATCACCTGGCCCATTAGTTTTCAAAAGGAAGAGACCTCTGTAGATAATTCGGCTTCCAGTAAAACCTCCCCAACAACAAACACTGAAGGAATCCTAATTGGGAGTTCATGTTTGGTACACAGAAGAAGTTTCAGCTGGTTGCAATCTGCAATCCTCACTGCTAGATGCCACTAAATCCTACACACTGCTTTTTTAAACACCAGACAAAGCTTTCACTTAAAGTAAAATATGATGCTGAGAAGACTGGCAGCCTCCAATGTACATTTTGCAAATCTTGTTTTATTCATGTAATGAAAATTAGCTAAATGCATACATTTTGTTTGCACTATCTTTAGTGTCCATAGTGTAAACCCTGGCCGTGCCTGGTATCCCTTTCTATTCATAGCATCTGAGTCCGTTCATGTGGTGTCACTGCAGGCACAGAAAGCCCTGGGCCGGAGCGCACCCGCCAACAGAGCAGTCGCAACCAAAACCACCACACCAGGTACATGCAGGTTTAGAAAACCTTTTTAGCACTGTAAATATCTTAAAGTAGCTCATCAATATCCTTGTAAGTTTGAATTTTTGATATTTGGTTGTGTTTGTTTGTTAAAATATGAGAAACCAAAGGCAGGCCTTTATCCAAATAAGGTGATTTTTAAAGAATACTTCACCTGGCAATCGACCATTTGTGTATCAAGTACTGAGCACATTACCTTGAATTAGTGGAGAGAGTGTTTTTTCTTGCATGCCTCCTCAGTGAATGAAGAGCAGAGCCCAAACACATGCGCATGCCCAGGCACGCTTCTCTGCAGTGCATGAGACTGTTTGGACTGAGGTGTCTTAAATTGTAATGTTTCAGTAGAAATGCATGTGTTTGGGAAATACTGAGCGTACCGATGAATGAATGAGGCTTTGTGGGAATTTGTAAACAGATGTATTGAAATAGTTTGGTTGCTGTTAAACATGATCTCTATTTACTTAAATTCATAAAGAATGTTCACACTTTTTGGATTCGCCATGAATGCATGCAAGAAAAACAAAGTTTTCTTCATGAATTCAAGGTAATAATTGTTATTCAAATGGTCATTTTGAGGGTGAAGTATTCCTTTAATTTTGGTTTGGAGCTGGACATGTTTGTCTCTATGTCTTTGTGTGTCTGTATTTGTTGTCCAGAGCCACCGGAGTATGAGGCCCAGGACATCAGTGTCAGGGTCATGTCTCCTCAGTCGGTCCTCATCTCCTGGGTTGACCCTGCTGTTGAGATGGGAAAGGTCAGCCCTGGGGAAGTCAGGTGAGGCCTGTTTAAGTATATGTGTGAAAGAAATTTGATTAAAAACCAAGATTGACTGAGTAATACAGAATGCTAACCCTTTTCACTGGAATAAAAACTTCTATATTTTCTCTAAACCAGATCATACACAGTCAGGTTCAGGGAGAAGGGTGAGTCAGCGCGCTGGGAGTACAAGGACAGCACCCAGAGGAGGATGATGATAGACACCCTGTCTGCTGACGGCATGTATGAGTTCTCTGTCAGAATCTCTCAGGGAGAAAATCAAGGGAAGTGGAGCGTGTCCGTCTTTCAGAGGACCCCTGAGTCAGGTATGCACACTGCACAGCCACTGCCTGCTGACAGAGTATCATTTTTGTAGGTCACAGTGCAGCTTAGGAAAAGTGATGAGTAGCGAGTCATGAGGAGAAGCTATAGAGAGCCAAAGCTCTCAGATATGAAAAGAGAAATTATTTCTGCAGAAAAGAATTCATGCCTGCATAACTCTGTCAGTTAGCTCATTTCTACTTATTTCCTCATACCACACTTCATCATATTCACTGCCTATTTGATATTGGATTCCAGCTTTGGCTGCAGCTCTGTCATGATTGCAGATTTTATACCATGTCATAGCAGCTCCTGAGCTGCGGTTCATTGGAATGTCAGCATTTACTGCCTGGCTCACAGCTCAGATATCCATCTGCAGTTCCATACATGATCTCAACGGGAGGTTCCTGACACCGTATGGCAGCAGTGCTTTTCTCAGTTGAAGCCTTCTGGCACAAACTCGCTGTTTTTACATTCTTTAAGCAGCAATTTCCTCACCCTGATCCCTCTATGCTGCCTCTGGTTTCTGTCCGACTGCTCCTCCTCTCACCACTGTCTTTCCATTCACGTGTGTTCTCCTCACTTGCTAGCACCATCTGGGCCACCAGAGAACTTCGAGGTCAAGCCGCTGAGGGGGAAAGGAACAGCTGTCGTTGCAACATGGGATCCACCTGAGGAGCCCAATGGGAGGATAAGAGGTCAGGCCAGGAGGAATAAAATATATTCATTTTCTAAATTCAGCCAGCCCAGCGTAAACTCCCTGCTGGATTAGGAAACTTTCTGTTGCTGCCGTTACATAGATTACACCTGGCCCACTGTGACCCCCCGGTGCTGGGGTTTGTGCCAGCTGAATTCGAGTTGCTATAGCTGCTACTGAAGGTCCCTCTCTGGAGATTGTGCTTGCTCTCCTCTCAGCAAATACTCTACTAGTGGCAGGGAGTGGGGTCATAAATACAGTTATTAGTGTATCTACTCCTTTCCTATGCAGTATTTGGTGCTGCTGAAATACAAGTCAGAAAAACAGAATGACGTGAAATGTGCATTGTTGTTGGAAATGTCTCATGATATACAGTCTCTAGAAGTTTCTGATTCAACTTTTCCCCATGGTCTGGTAAGGTAAACAAAAGTACGAATACTTGTAGAATCGCAATACTTCAAAATTGCAATACCGTACATGTCGATCGGCACCGGGGTATGTTATAGTACTGAATAGAAAAATAAGCATATCGTCCTAGTCCTAATGCATACCCATTGTTATGGGGGTATGTTAAAGGTAGGATCTGCAGGATTTTCAAACAAAACAAAATATAGACATATACAAATGAAATCCTGCTTAATCATCACCTATGGGCTTCTACTCATGTGTGGTGGTGGTCTGTTTGCAGAGCTCCTGCCCTTTAACTGTATTTTGATGTTTTTGTGAGCTCAGACCGCTTCTGGGCGGAGATTTCCCAAGCCAATGAGAGAGCGCAGGTGCCGTGCCTGAGTGTGTCCAAGCATTCACCAGCGCGAGCCTTGCCTGAACCTCTTCTGTGAAGCCTTCATCCGTACCTCCGGGCTCCGTACACCCGGACATCCGCACATTCTCCAGACCCTACCTTTAAACATTTCTTGTATGATATGACTTTTTCTCCTGAATGGTCACATTTCATCTCTTAATGACATGCTCTACCTCCACTCAGAGTACATCCTGTCTTATGCTCCTGCTATGAAGCCGTTTGGAATGAAAACTGTGACGTACCGCAGCAGCACATCCACAGCCACCATAGACGGCCTCACACCGGGAGACCGGTACATCTTCAAGATTAGAGCGACCAACAGGAGGGGACAGGGACCACAGAGCAAGGCCTTCAGTGTTGTCATGCCAGGATGTAAGCAGATTCGACTGTAAACAGTATGTGTGTGCATGTATCCTTTACATTTTGATAGATCCTAATTTCATGACAATTTTTGTCTACTGCCAGCCAGCAGCACTGCCTCGTCGTCTTCAAAAACCACAGACAGCCGCAGGACTACTCACACTCCTTCCAAACAGGATACTGACCATGAGGAACCTGACCTCCAGTCAACAGAGGAACCAACCACTCCACCACGCCCCGCTGTACCTGCCAGCAGGCGTGTACGCCCACTTTCCCAGTCACGCTCCTATCACAGCATCTTCTCCTCTGTAAGGGGCTCAGTCAGGAACACAGTGAACAGAGGGTCATCCAGAGGAAGAACTCAAGACAGAGAAGATGAGGAGGAGGAAGAAGAGATAATACCCACAACACCACCTCCAGTAGTAGAGACGACAACAATGGAGGTTGTGCCGGAGACAAAAGAGCCAGACAACGAAGTTTCCCCTGAATTTGAGGAGGAAGAGGGATACAATGAAGAGCCTCTGACTACTAAGACCCCCAGCCTCAAAGTTTTGACGCCCTCCCCAACCAAACCTCAACCCAAGCCAGGGGCTAGAAGGGCCATTAAGATTAGGGTTCATCAAAAACCAGGCTCCAAGGCTGCTTCCTCTTCATCCACTTCTTCATCTTCTTCTGCTTCATCCTCCTCTTCTTCTGCCTCCTCCTCATCTTCTACTACCTCTTCATCCTCGCCCTCTACAACTTCATTATCCTCCTCCTCACAAATTCAAGAGTCAGCAGCCAGTAGAAAGGACTATGTGGCTTCCACGTACCCAGAACACAAAGACACCTATGATAAGCCCAGTGTAACACATATTAAACCCTCCCCTACACTTGTAAAAGAGACAGAGGCTACATCTGATGTTAGAGGTTCGGCTCCAGTAGGTCGCACCAATGGTTCTGGGTTGGGCTCTAGATACGGTTACAGTCGAAGACATCCTGGAATTTTGTTTAGAGGTAATTCAACTCGAATGCTTAATGGTTACAAACCTGCCATCACCACACAGTCAAATTTGCCGAGCAAAACTCCGAACCAAGCAACTTCAAACACACGTAGTTCAGCAACATCACAGTCCACTTTGCCAGACAGGACTCAAAATCAGGGAATATTGCATACTTTCAATTCTAGGTCCCCTTCAGGAAGTGGAACTCACAGCCAGGCAGCATCAGATCCATATACAAATTCCCAGAGCTCAGGCACCAATCCATCTACCACAGACACAGCAGGCTCTTCTCAATCAGCGTCACACAGAGGATCCCACAGCTCTGCAACTTCACACAACACACAGAAATCAAACACGTCACCTGAGCAAGACACGGCACACAGGGAGGAAAATTATGACAGTAATAACAGAAACACAGACACAGAAGTTACTAAAGTTGAAGAGCCTACTTCAAGCTCGAAACCACAACCCACGGAGGAGGAGAGAGGGGAGGGAGAGGGAAGGGAGGAGAGCAGTAATACAAAACCTACGGTTCCTCGTACAAGACTTAGCCCCTCATTTGCTGAAAGGTTCCCTTGGTTAGCTAGCCGTTACCCAGGAAGGTTTGGTTCAGGGTCGAGAGCCTCATCTTCCAGGCAGGATGGTAGAACCCCCTTGGCCAGGACGTCATCTTCTGTGGGGGCTGGCAGACCAGTCTTGAGTCGGACACCCACCAGGGTTTCCGGGGCCACAGGTGCTGCAGGAGTATCCACGATACAGGAGACTAGTGAAGATACAAGAACTCATGACTCACTAAAAAACACAGTGGGGGCGGGTTCAGTTAAGCCTTTGACCAAACACAATACAGAATCTAGTGATGCTAGAAACCCAACTACCTCATCGTCTTCCTCTTCAGCTGCCTCTTCCTCAGACTCTGACTCCCATCGTTCCTCAGATGGACACGGTGAATCAAGTGAGCCCGTCCATAGAGGAACCACTGATGTCAATAACAACGATCATAATGAGGATTATCTTGATGAAAGGAACAGAGAAGTTAATGGAAGAAATGATAAACTTACAGACTCCACAACAGCCCAAAATAATCCTACTGAGCCTCACAGAAACACAGAGGACAATGATAGTGTGGATACAGGGGAAACTTCTCCCAGGACGAGACCTGGTTCACCATCTGGAGGCACTCCAACTTATCGTCGTCCTGGTGTTGGGGTCAGTGGGAGGGTACGCTCTCCTCTGCTGGCTAACAGGCAGTTTGGTGGATCTAGGCTTCCCATCAGACCACAGCCAGCACAGAATTCAAGGCAGGGTTCTTCAACATCCGATGCCTCTTCAGCTTCTTCCTCAAATGTTCCCCAGCCAGTTTTGACCTCAGATCGTGACGTTGGCAGTGGCACTACTGTGACAAAGACAGGGGGATTAATTGGAGGCAACTCCCAGTCCACATCGTCATCCTCAGCATCTAGAGACAGCCTTAGGGGCCAGGGGAGCCAGGGAGGCCGGTCTCGCTATCCCATCATCAGAGGGAAACCAACCAACAGAGGACAACTCAAACCCAGCAATGGAAACGGTAAAGTCCATAGGTGAAGTGTGTAGAATTTAAAATCACTACAACCACTGCATTACTCCCCAGGTACAAGGATTTGCTTGAGCAAAAAGCTAAATGATAATATGTTTGAAACTAATCAGTACATTATTTAGTAACAACTTTCATATTTTTCAAATCACACCCTAAACTGTAGAGAACAGTATTTTGTTCCCGTGTATGCTGAGTGTGTATTATGGAAACGAGAAATAAACCTGGTTCAGATTCTCAATATGACGCTGCTTACACTGTATAATTGTTAGGTAAAAATGGACGACCCAACCTGACAGCAACAAGCGATAAAGACTCCTCTTCCTCTCATGGAATCAGCAAGGCCGTTGGTCAAAGGTTTATTACCGGACCTGATGGAAACAAATGGGTAACTATGTTTAAAGAATTGATTGTAACCTTGGTTGTAATCTTACGTTGTGATGAATCTTACTCTTGAGTAATTTATTTTGTTACTGGCTTGTTGTAGCATGACATACTGTAGATTATACTGTAATGTTAGCCTGGCAGCACCACTGATTCGCAAATTCAAGTTAGTCTGGAATCGCCAAGTTCATTTTCGATATCCAAGGGGAGTTAGCAGTGGCCGTAGAACAAAATGCCGCTGGATGCAATTCGATACACCTACAACCAGTTACAGCAATGAAACGTTGTACTGCCCCATCTTTGTGGTGAACAGTGGGGCCAATTGGTAAATTAAACTTTAACCAAATCCTGTCGGAAGTACAGCAAACACATCTTTGTTATCAACAAAAGCTTCAAGGGGAAAAATGTGCAGATTTTCAACCAGTTCTGTGTCACCACAGTGCGTGCAGATAAATGGTGTTTGGCATCGGCAAAAGTCTGCCAGGTGTTGCATCACTCACCGGTTCCCGCCAGTGTTTAAGCTGGGAGGTGCTGGCAACACAGAGGGAGGGTGAGCGTTGTTCCGTTGCATGCACGGCCCATGTTGCAATGGCAAAGAGCTGGTTGAAAATCACAAGTGCAACTGTTTGTTCTTCCGTTAGAGAAAATACACAGTCCAGTTCGTTTAATGATGATACATTAGCAAATTCAATAGAACCTTCCACAGCAGCAGCAGCCATCTTGGTTATTTACAAAAATGTCTCAGTTGCGCTCCTCTGTCAGTCATTGTATCAAACCTCCCCATATTAGCTAAACAGCTATGATTGGTTGAAAATCTGTTTGAAGGGGGACCAGACCTTCTGCCATACTTTATCTATATATAGTTAATATAGATTTACTAAATCTTTCTGTCTCTCCAGGTTGTTGATTTGGAGCAGGGGGTTCTCATGAACCAGGATGGACAAGTTCTTCAGGACTCCAGCGGCAAACCTAAGAGAGTGGTGCTTGGAGAGGATGGACGCACGATTTTTGGTGATATATTTTAGTGTGTCTTACATGACATTTAAACGTACAGTATACAACTTGAACTTGTATTCAAAAATGGCTTTAATCACTCTCATTAGCTTACTGCTTAAGACAGAGTCATAAATATTTTGCTTCCCCTCCCCCTTGCTCCTTCACTCGACTGATGACCAGACCATATGGGCAGCCCCCTGGTAAACGAGGAAGGTATGGCTCTGTTTGGCCATGGCCGAGACAGCCGGCCTGTGGTCAACCCCAAAGACAAGGTCCTCATGGTTGGAGGGAAACCTCTTCTTGGCTTGGACCTTCCGCACCACAGGACCACTACTACCACCACTACCACCACCACCACCACCACAACCACCACCACCACCACTACAGCTCCTACCACCACACCTGAACCCACCACCACTGAGTGGTTCATAGAGGAATCTACCACTGAAGCACCCTTCCCAACCTGTCCACCCGGAACCTTCTCCAGAACAGATGAATTTGGGTTTCCACTGGTGGATCCAGACGGAATATTGGACTGTTATCCAGAAGGTGAGACCTTGAGAAACACATTGAAATTCATCATAATGCACTACAAAATGCATTTTAAAAGATTTATTGACAGAGATTTATGCTATAGGAATGAAACAAAATACTGCAGTGCAACATTTCTTAGTAAATAGCTTTTCCACATAGCTGAAGTCAAGTTCAGTGAAGCATTTTAGAGCCTGAATAGCGAACATAAATACGTATGACCTCACTAAATCTCTCAGTTGTATTTTTTGTCATATCCATCTAGGCCAAGGCCGTGAGTGTTTCCTGTCTATACCCTCAGAGCCCTATAATTCTATAACTGTATGTCTTGTGTGATCTGGTCAGTGTGTGTGTGTGCGTGTGTGTGTCTCTGTGAGACCACAGGAACCACATGTAAGTCTCCACATCTGGGGCCTGACTGTGGTCAGAGCACTGCTGGTTTAGACAGAGTTGTCAGTTGCTCACTGGCATTTGTGTTATCGCACAAAGACAATGAATGAAACATACTTACACACATACATGAACACACAAAGCATGGCTGGTATAGTCATTACAGCACACATGGTGGGGGAAAAAACAATAAAACAAAACCAAGTCTATAAGATCAGAGTTGTAGATTTGCAATAAACCAAAAAAACTAAAACAGAAGGTAGTTTTGGTTTTTTTTAAAGATTATTTTACACAAACAAATCTATGTGAGCACACAGCTGCCATTGTCAGAAAACAAATGTTATTTGTGTTGCGTTAGGAACTTTAAATTGCATTGTAATGTACAAATTATTATCCATAATCCATATTAGTCAGGCTTTTTAATTATAAACAGAGAAGAAGTATTACTGCAGCTAAACTGAGGAACATGATGTGAACATTTGAAGGAACTGATGAAGTATTTGGTTTGGGGCTAATCCTGCCAAGCAGTAATAGATTTTTTTTTTTATGTGTGTGTTTGGATCCTATATATATACAAATATAGTAATACTGATGTATACCTTCAGTGTAGTCTCTGAGATATTGTTCTCCCCACAACAATGGATAAATCCCCAAATAGGAGCTCATTATACTACAAAAACTTCTCATTATAATGACAACATTGCCTCGTTATGATGACATACGGTGCAGTATAATAGTAAACTCTCCCAGTGTAACAAAACAGGCGACTATGACAATGATTTTTGTCCCACTGTGGCAGCTCTGTACCATACAGTGCCCATTATTAGTGTTGCAGGAGCACTTATGAGCTCAAACACGCCCAGCAAACTGAGACAGCTGGAAAGATGTTTCCTCGTAAAGTCTAAAATAAAGAATGTGGGGCCAGAATGGATTTTACAATATTTTTTCACTCACTCATCACACTCTTAAAGGGACAGTTCACCCCTAAATCAAAAATGCACATTTTTCGTCTTACCTGTAGTTCTATTTATGAATCTAGATCAAGGGTCTTCAACATTTTTCAGGCCAAGGACCCTTCAGCTGAAAGACAGACGGAGCAGGGAATCCCTACGTATATAAAATTGGCATGCATATTAAACTGGGCCTACATTAACATGCAGGACGGCCTAAAGTGCCATGTCTCAACATACCTTGATATGGTGCATATAATACTAAGCTATTAAAATGAAAATTACAAACAGATTCATATATTTATACACCATGGATTCTTGGGTTAGTTAGGAGTTAGTCTGTCACCAGTGCTGTGCAATGAGAAGTAAATGTTTTTCTTCATTAATAGGCTGATTTATCTTTGCTAATATGTTGGATTCACCCCTAGGGGTGACAGACCTCCTGTTGAAGACCCATGATCTAGATTGTTGTGGTGTGAGTTGCTAATTGTTGGAGATATTGGCCTTCTCTCAAATATAATTGAACTAGATGGCACTCGGCTTGTGGTGCTCAAAGTGCCACAAATACATTTGATAAAATTCAACAGCAATGTCTCTTTTCAGAAATCATGACCTGGTTGCTCAAGATAATCCACAGACCTTGTTGTGAGCAGTTTTATGCGGGAACTATTTTCTCTCTGCTGAACTACACCCCCAAGTATCACTGCGCAGAAGGAAGTGTGCATCTACTCATGGACGAGAAGCTCGTGTTTGTGATAGCACAAGCTGTAAACACTAATGCCATCATCCTCGGCTGAGCTGTAATGTTAGCTAGCTCAGTGGTGCTATTTGAGCTAGCAGTAGATGCGCAGTGATACAGTGGGTGTAGTTCAGTAGAATGAAATAGTTCCTACATAAAACTGCTCACAACAAGAGTCTGTGGATTACCTGGAGTAACCAAGTCCTGATTTTTGGAAAGAAACATTGCTGTTGAGTTTTTCTAACGTACAGGTCTGATTTTCAAGACCTGCTCCCAAACCTAAACTGCGACTTGCAATGCCGCAGTCACCACGCAACCTGTACATATGACCAATTAGTTCTGCAATCCAACCCGACCCGACCCTCTGACACAAGATCTGCAGCCTGACCTGAAACCACCTGTTAGTAACACACCTGATTGAAGCAACTCTTAAATTCCAGCTGGCGCAGACAACAGAGCCGATACACAAAGTCAGCAGTCAGAGGATTAAAACATTGAAACATTGAAATAAATTTCTATTATTTTCATTTTATTGTAATTTATTTATCACCCAACATCTGCCATCCAAGCCGCATGTTTTTTGTTTAACCCTGAGCCGAACCCAATGCAGGACTCTGCCACAAGCTGAGTGCCGACTAGTTCCATTATATGTCTATATATGTGGGTGTTTCTGTCTACGTGTGTGTGCCAGCTCAGAAATGTGTACACGGTGATGCGAGATTGATGCTCCAGCTTGTTCTGCTTCTCTGACAGAGGAATCCTCAGGAATGGAAATGGACCACATGGTTACAGGGAACATGGTGCCTGATGCTTTAGCTCTTAAGAAAGGTATTGGCTGAGTTTGGCTTTCAGACCGACCTACCGCCACTGGGCTGGGATGGACTAATCTGCACTATAATGCTCATTGTCCCTCGACTGTTGACTGCACTGTTTGTTTATTGTCTGTTTATCTGTCAGTGGATCTGTTTGCTAGCTCTTTCTGTCTCTTCCTCTTCGCCTTGCCTGTGGTCTTCCCTTTGTTTCTCTTCTTGTACGTTTGTTTGGCTTGGTCTTGGTTCATGGCTGGGGTTTTGGATATTTTCCATCATGGGCTGTTTTTAATCACTCTTATTCCAAAAAACCGGACCATGTGAACTGCATTACTAAGCTGAAGAGAATGCCCTGGCTTATGATATTTGCTGTTCTTAATGTTGCTTTGTAATATAATAGATGAACCCGAGCTTCAGCCAAACACTAGCTGAATGGAAAACTGCAGCCTTTGTACTAATTTCACTACAGGTGTTTGGATCTCTCAAGGTTGCACGTGAGCAGCAATTGATATTTTCTTTTGCCGGGGTTTTGCTAGAAAAGATACACTGAGCATAAGAATATTTTCTCAGCGAATCCCTGCCATGGCTCAAAGCTGGTTGCATGTGTTTGGACCATGATGTAATGCCAAGGCCCACTGATGCGGCACAGGGTAAAAAACTGTGATGAAAGCAGAAGGAACTAATTGGATTTCACCCACTGAATCCCTTAACATTTGTCAGCCGTGGAGACTTGTGAAATGGACGTTGTCTTCAAGCCCCCTCTCACATGGAAAATATGGGTAGCAAAGCATTACATAAGAATACAGCTTTGGGTGTTCGGGGGAAAAAGGGGTTATTTGAAAGTGAGCTCGCGCATCTGCCCACAATTAATTAAATCGATTTGACACTCTTATTCCGTAGATCGTGGTGCCAATTACAGAGGATTAATGGAAGACAGCAGCATGTTATTGAGTTAGGATGTAAATAATATAAATCTGTGTAAATCAAAGGCTCACTGACACATGTGTTGTTGCCAGATGAGTATTTTGTCCAGACCACCATGCCACCCACAACCACCATTACCACCATCATGGAGATCCCGACTCTGGAGACAGACAACAGACCCTCTAACCATGGCCCGTCATCTGAGTTTGACCTCAGCGGGAAGAAGCGATTCACAGGTACAGAAATAAGTGTTTATGAACAAGTGTATGCTCATGTATATTAGCTCTTGCACACTCTCTCTTCCCTCTCTTTTTGGTGCACAACTTTAAGGGTAAGCTCGGATTTTTTTTCAGCCTGGACCTTATTTTGCCATGTTTTTGTGTCTATAAGTGACTAATAGGAACAACAGTTTTTAAATTGGTTCAGTATTGAGAGTGCATTGCAGACCGCGGTAGCTAAACAGTCTGCAGTGTAGCCATTCAGGGCATGGTCGCACCATCAATGTACGTCCACAAAAGTGTTTGTTTTTGCCACTGATTGGCTCAGATTATTATTTTAATGTCTGACCATGAATGGAAAGGATCCCTACAGAGATAGACCTTTTTGTTAAAGAGTGACATACTTTATGTTTAACCAGGAACAGCCTCAAAATAGCTATTGCAGAGCTGACCAGACTCCATTTAAATAAACATTAATTTATTACAGTGAAACACACTTCATTCACAGTTACACATAGGTTGTGAATAAAATGTTGAAGCCTATAGAGAACAGAGACAAGTCACAAAAAGCATATGAAGTCTATATCCTCGTTAAGACCAGGATACTTTAAAGCATCCCGTTGATGGATCCAAAAAGCTTCCCTTTAATTTGAGTTTCTTTATTCTGCCCTAATAACCAAGTCCCTTTTTTGTCTGCTGGAAGATGTGAATGCATAAGCCTGTCCCTAAGCATGGGGGCACATCTAAAAGAAAGTATAGGGGGTTTAGGAACTCGACAAAATATCACTCTCAATAATGGCCCAGTTATTTTAAATGATACGTTTAATTTGTTCAGCATGTGTACTGTATCACACTCAAGTGACTGTGTTCTGTCAAAAGCCCGCTTCACCACAATGGGTTTGTAAGCTCTCTTTAAAAACCTATTGGATATAGCTTCAGCCTGTTCTACGAAATCCGTCTCTTCATTACAAATGTGTTGCAGGCGTTGGAATTGGCCATATGGGATGTTTTCTTGAAGGCGTGGGGGTGAAAAACGTCCGCTCTGAGGATTGTGTTGCCTGAAGTACTCTTTCTAAAAAGAGTTGTATGTAACAGCCCCTCAGGCCTCTTAAAAATTGTCAGGTCCAAAACATTAATACTGTGCTGAGAGTATTCGATAGAGAGCTTAATATTGTTCACCAACTCTTGTTTGGTTGAAATAAACCTCTAGTTAGATGTGAAAATATGTTGGCTCTGTACACATTACAATTACGTAAATGGAGTTTAATGGAATTGGCGATAGGGATTTTGGGGCTGTTCCTGGTTAAAACAAAAAGGTCTATCTCTGTAGGGATGCTTTCCATAATGGTGTCAGACACTTATAATAACAATCTGAGCCTGTCAGTGGCAAAAACAAGCACTTTAGTGGACATAAATTGACAGTGAAAACATGCCACAGGTGGTTACATTGCAGCCTGTTTTGCGCTGCTCCTCAGTACTGGACCTGTTTCAGAAACTCTTGTTTAGTCCCTATTATTCATCTAGACACAAAAACACAGGAAAATAGGGTCCAGGTTTCAAAACACTGAACTCACCCTTTAACGTAATCTCTTCCAGAGTTGGCTTGAGTTTGATGTGCAGCTCTAAACTTAGATTTCAGATTTAATATCACATTTCCATTATGCATGATAGATCTATTTCCAAGAGAAACTTTAACCCCCTCAGACGGATTAGACTTTTATGTGTGTGTTTCTTCCAGAGTTCAGCTATGAGTTTGCGGTGTAGCTTTAAACTCAGATTTTAGATTAATAGCAAATTCTTATTATCATCAAGATGAATCACTTTTTAAACGGAGTTTTACTTTGACCTGATGTATGACAAACAACTCTAACAGGAAGTAGGGAAATATACTATATGTATAATATATTATTTTTATTTGTTTCTATGAGTTTAGTCGACTGTAAATGCCAGAGAAAGAAACATATTATCTTAACCTGACAGCACAATAAACAGAATACGTCTTGCTAAGAAAGTCATACAGCATGACCGACCATGTACGCCTGATGTCTGTGTATTACATGTTTTTGTCCTTGTTCATGAGCCTGTATGATGAATGACTCGCTGTGCTGTAAATAACGCTAGGCTGATGGGAGTTCTGTTTAGTTTTGTCAGGGAGTAATAAATTTGGACCTCTATCTTGGCTTCTCAGCAATGCCTCATAAATATACAACCCTCTCAGACTTTACAGTAACCATGGCCAAAAATAGGAAAAGTAAAACTTTATGGTGGTGTAACTTATTATTTCCTCATCCATATCATAATGTAGGTAATCGCAGCCACAGGAAAACAATCAACTATCGAACTGTGGAAGTAAGTGTATCTCTAATAGTGGATTCAAATTGGTTCCGTCCATGCCTAATTGGATCATAATAGCGGAGTTCACTGAGGACACATAGTTCAGGGTCTCAACCCCCTGCTTCCTTTTTATTGTTCCTACGTGCTGACTTTGGCCTCTCAAACCATATCACCTCATCTGGTTGCACAAACAGGCCGTGATATCCTCCTGACAGAAATAAAAACAGCATCTACTTGACTCTAGCCCTCTAAAAACTCCATCATGTCAGAGGTCCCTTCAATAGTGCTATATTTAATGACTGTATTTTTGTCATGTTTCAGCTGTCGAAATAACTAGTGCAAAGTTACTGAAACCACAGGCTCTAATAGTACAAGCATTAATACATGAATAACAGAGAGTACTTATTATATAGCTTTGGAAGTGTTTGTCGGTAACATAGTTGGAACAGAGTCATTTTATTTTCTCAGATAAAAGCAGAGATCATCTATTAAGAGCTGTGAGATTAGCAAAACATAACCCACAACATGGAGGCAGAGAACCTCCACATACCGTGCCATGTTATTTTTCAAAACTTAACAAGTTGCAGTGGATTATTCCACTTATAGACCCTGACAAATAAAGGTGCTAACTAAAACCTTGTAGGGTCTTTTAGCTTGTCCCCATATAGCTCTTTTCCACCGCCATGGAACGGCTTCTGGTTCAGAACCCCAAAAGTTGTTTCCCATCTGGAGCCGATAAATATCAGCATTTCCTTGACCTGAAGTGCAAACCATGACAACATCATTGGGTGTGTCATGATCTATAGGCTGGAAAGAGAGGATGGAGTCTTGCACATAATAGTGTTCTGCATATTCTTATCAGTTACCGTGGTGCAGTGGTTTGCATTGTCACCTCATAGCAAGAGGATTCCCAGTTCAAATCAGGGGTGGGGGGTTCAAACAAATATCTGTAATAACGGAATGAGAGCTTGCAGGTAAACAATGCATTCTGCCATTTTGCTACTGCTGTTTATTTCCATTGTGCTTTCTGCAACGCCCCCATGTCGATGATACATGCGTGATTACAATGGTTCCGCTCAAGACTGGTTGAAACTTGGGCTGGTTTGCTAGATAGCACCAAGGCTTCAGGAATCCTGAAAGGTACTAGTTCAAGAACCAGAGCTAATTTGGTAGAATTAGCTCTGCCAGTGGTGCAGTGTTTAGCATTGTCACCTCACAGCAAGAGGGTTCCCAGCTTGAAACCAGGGTGGAGGGTTTGAACCCAGGGTGGTGGAGTTCTCTCTATGTCTGCATGGGTTTACTCCAAGTACTCCGGCTTCTTCCCACAGTCCAAAGACATGCAGGTTAATTGTTGACTCTAAATTGCCCGTAGGTGTGAATGGTTGTCTGTCTGTATGTGTCAGCCCTGTGATAGTCTGGCAACCTGTCCAGGGTGTACCCTGCCTCTCACCCAGTGTCAGCTGGGATAGGCTCCAGCCCCCCTGCGACCCCTAACAGCATAAGCGGTTGTAGAGAATGAATGAATAAAGGGATAATGGGAGAGCCCTTTCTGTTCCTTGGTAGGACCTTTCATAAAGCCCAGTCCAGACTGAAGATTCGCAATGAGATGAGTTGAAACTTGTGACTGCTTGCAATGTGCCTGTCTGCAATGTTCTGAAAGCCTGCCAGTTCACACCAATGTGGCTAGACGAGATGGTTTATTGTCTCCAGAGCAATAACTCTCTGTACTACTAGGATAGTGATAGTTTGATACTTGCTACAGCTGCATTTGTGGTAGTGATGAATCAGCAAAAACATAAAGAAAATTACCTGAGCTTCAGGGTCAGTGATAATGAAGAAAAAAAAGGGTGCGCTGCACTGGGTTGAGGCACTGTTTGTAAAAAAAAAAAAATGATGCTCTTCTAGGACAGGGTAAATAGTCACATAAAGATAAAAAAAAACGACAACTGGCCAGCTCACGGTACAGGCAGGCAGTCCAAAAATGTATCCGAGGCACTCTGACTGTAGTTAAAAATCCTTCACTGATTCATGACTAAACTAAGGCCTTGTGTCATTGGTTTATCTGTTAGCTTAAAGAGAAGATTTATGACTGTGCCTTTATCAGCTTCAGATGGACCGTATTCATAACAAATACGCCACAGTAGGCTGTGTGTGAGACATGTGCACACACAGCACATATTAAAATAACTCTGCAGCAACTCAATATTGCACATACTATTCATTAAGTTGGGTGACTTACAAGAGATTATAAAAACAATGGTTAAAATCAATGGAATGGAAGCCAAGATATCATGACTATTGGTCCTAGGCATGAATCAAGCTTTACATCATGCAACTCAAGCCATGTAAGAGGACCTATGGCTCATTTTTCAGACTTGACACAGCTCCTTCCAAATACTTTACAGGCTATGTAGCACTTCCCATGGCGAGTAAATTGACTTTGACATACAGTACAGGCCAAAAGTTTGGACACACCTTCTCATTCAATGCGTTTTCTTTATTTTCATGACTATTTACATTGTAGATTCTCACTGAAGGCATCAAAACTATGAATGAACACATGTGGAGTTATGTACTTAACAAAAAAAGGTGAAATAACTGAAAACATGTTTTATATTCTAGTTTCTTCAAAATAGCCACCCTTTGCTCTGATTACTGCTTTGCACACTCTTGGCATTCTCTCGATGAGCTTCAAAAGGTAGTCATCTGAAATGGTTTTCCAACAGTCTTGAAGGAGTTCCCAGAGGTGTTTAGCACTTGTTGGCCCCTTTGCCTTCACTCTGCGGTCCAGCTCACCCCAAACCATCTCGATTGGGTTCAGGTCCGGTGACTGTGGAGGCCAGGTCATCTGCCGCAGCACTCCATCACTCTCCTTCTTGGTCAAATAGCCCTTACACAGCCTGGAGGTGTGTTTGGGGTCATTGTCCTGTTGAAAAATAAATGATCGTCCAACTAAACGCAAACCGGATGGGATGGCATGTCGCTGCAGGATGCTGTGGTAGCCATGCTGGTTCAGTGTGCCTTCAATTTTGAATAAATCCCCAACAGTGTCACCAGCAAAACACCCCCACACCATCACACCTCCTCCTCCATGCTTCACAGTGGGAACCAGGCATGTGGAATCCATCCGTTCACCTTTTCTGCGTCTCACAAAGACACGGCGGTTGGAACCAAAGATCTCAAATTTGGACTCATCAGACCAAAGCACAGATTTCCACTGGTCTAATGTCCATTCCTTGTGTTTCTTGGCCCAAACAAATCTCTTCTGCTTGTTGCCTCTCCTTAGCAGTGGTTTCCTAGCAGCTATTTGACCACGAAGGCCTGATTGGCGCAGTCTCCTCTTAACAGTTGTTCTAGAGATGGGTCTGCTGCTAGAACTCTGTGTGGCATTCATCTGGTCTCTGATCTGAGCTGCTGTTAACTTGCGATTTCTGAGGCTGGTGACTCGGATGAACTTATCCTCAGAAGCAGAGGTGACTCTTGGTCTTCCTTTCCTGGGTCGGTCCTCATGTGTGCCAGTTTCGTTGTAGCGCTTGATGGTTTTTGCGACTCCACTTGGGGACACATTTAAAGTTTTTGCAATTTTCTGGACTGACTGACCTTCATTTCTTAAAGTAATGATGGCCACTCGTTTTTCTTTAGTTAGCTGATTGGTTCTTGCCATAATATGAATTTTAACAGTTGTCCAATAGGGCTGTCGGCTGTGTATTAACCTGACTTCTGCACAACACAACTGATGGTCCCAACCCCATTGATAAAGCAAGAAATTCCACTAATTAACCCTGATAAGGCACACCTGTGAAGTGGAAACCATTTCAGGTGACTACCTCTTGAAGCTCATGGAGAGAATGCCAAGAGTGTGCAAAGCAGTAATCAGAGCAAAGGGTGGCTATTTTGAAGAAACTAGAATATAAAACATGTTTTCAGTTATTTCACCTTTTTTTGTTAAGTACATAACTCCACATGTGTTCATTCATAGTTTTGATGCCTTCAGTGAGAATCTACAATGTAAATAGTCACGAAAATAAAGAAAACGCATTGAATGAGAAGGTGTGTCCAAGCTTTTGGCCTGTACTGTATAAAATTGGTGGAGTGTGAAATAATGCTCAGATTCTGGCCAATGGAAATAAACGGTTATCATTCAGAATGCGAATGACTGCCGTTAGTTTCAATGCAAGCCTGTTGCTATTCTAACGAAGTGGATAAGTCCTTGAATAATGGCTTCACATTCGTTCACTGACAGATTAAATGCAACTTGTCACTGTGACTTTTCTATTGATTATTGTTAGAGACCTTTTAAAAGGGAAGATTTATGGCTGTGTCTTTATCAGTGTGGTGTCAGCACAATCAGTATCATCTGCTCCAGAAGCAACAGGGGGGACGATAACGTGTCTAACTCTGGACACTATCTATCTTGGTACGGCTGTCTTGTGATCAAACCTCATATACATGTGGAGCCATCTGAAAGCTATTACTCTCCCTGAGATAAAAACAGGCAGGAGAAGAAGAGCAGTGGAAATAATAAAAGTTAAGGGTGCTGACCGCAGCACAGAGAGAATTCTGCGTTGGCTTGATGCGGAGACATCCTCTCTCCTATTTATTAGCTTAATATATTCTAGGTCCTTTTCAGCAGCCTGCCAGTCCACTGACATCCTTTGCGTGAACTGTCTGACAGAGCCTTCCCCTTAGTCTCCTTATCTGTCCAGGCATGGGTTGAATGAATCTCGCCCGAGGAAAGACGTGGGACAAAGAGTATTAACTAATAATTCTCAGCAGTTGTGTGAATCTTCTTTACAGGAAGATCCAGATGGATGGAATTTGCCACATTGGACTAAAAGATGAGTACCAGGATATTTGGACGATTCCAATGCTAATTTATGCCTTACTAGACTGATATTAGAGTCGACATTATGTGAACTGTCCTGATACTGTTTCCCAGTGTCATTTGATCCAAGTCTGGCTCAGGCACGCCAGTTTTCGTCAGTGTTTTCGGATTTGGCTCTTCAACAAGCAGAAGAAGACAGACAGAAGAACACATGAACAGAGCGAAACATCTGGATCCTCTGTGTTCATGAGCCTGCACTGATCCTGGACATGTGGGCGCTGTACAGAAACGCAGCGTTACAAGCACCCTGTGTATAGACAGCCACATAAATCTGCTCACCTTGATGACAGATCATGTATCTCAGGGTTTGAATGCGTAATACGTAAGCCATATGACTGGGTATACACAAACGGTAGGAGCCTGTGACAGCCCTAAACCGTACAGCCTCAGAGACTGTGTGGTGATTGTGTAGATCCTAACACGTGTTAGACTCTTGGCCTGCACAGAAGGCCAATCATCTGGGGAGGTGGGAGCGACTCCAGGCTCCAGCGGTTCCCTCCAAATCCCAGTCAGACTAGGAATTGTGGGATATCTGAAGTATTCACAGCTGTAGGTCCAGCTGGCATTTCCAGAGTTACTGAAAACAAACAAAAAGAGACAAAAAGGGGAGGAGAGGAAACAAAGAGAAGATACGGGGGCGTTCACATGAGCCCCCAGATTAACTTCTGGCAGCTCGTGTGAAGAAATAGCTCCCAACAAACTACAAATTATTTCTAGGACCCGCCAAATAAAAGTTGTATGACCTGGAAAAGTTGAAGCATCTTTTAAATTCTGTGTTGCGTGTGAAAGTTTTTGCCATTAAGATCCTTTTTTTTTTTCAATAAAATGCAGCATAAATATTTGCATTCATTATTGACTCCTTTATATAACTGTTTCCTACCACTAGCTCCATATGTGAACTACATCCGGAAGGACCCGGCTGCTCCCTGCTCCTTGACGGAGGCTCTGGAGTATCTTCAGGTCGACGTCCTAGAGGACTTGATGGAGAAGGACAGCCTGGCAGCCAATCAGAAACTGCCTCCCAAAAACAAGCCTCATAACCTCACTGTGGTCGCCATGGAGGGCTGCCACTCGTTCATCATCCTGGACTGGGGCCGCCCACTGAAGGATGATATGGTGTCGGGTAAGAGATGTTTTTCCCCAATTTTAAAGTTGACATCAAACTAAAATATTTTTTTCCTTAAAAAAGGTTTTAAAAAAAATAGCACCAGTGACAGAACCAGGTGTTGTAAACATTCAGGGCGTAGCCCAAACTCAGGGGCCCCCCGGCAGCCATACGCACTATTTTTCAAGTCATTTGAGATGATACAATGCCCAAAAATCTGTATATTTAATATTTCATATTAAAGGAGCTATATGTAAGAAATCTAAAGCAAATAGTCGTAAAATCATCCTAATATGTCACAGAGACTAAGGAATAATGTTCATATAACATACTGATCTCACCGACAACAATAGTACAGCCAGAATATTTTTTACAAAAAAATCATGAGTCTGCAAATCATGTTTATGTTTTGAATATGTGTTTTGGCCTGTTGCGCCACCCACCGCCGTCTGCCAGTCACACAGTCAGTAGAGTCTCAGCATCAGTTACAGTTACGACTGAGCAACAGCAGCACGGCAAGCAGCAATAGCAGTGTCCCAGTACATAGCATTAGCAGCCAGCTCCTCCTCAGCTGTATCCCGGCAGCAGTGTTAGCAGCAGAGAAGCCGGACTTGCCCGAACGGTCCGCTGGAAAACCGAAGATCAAGGACGCGGCGATGCAGCCCTGTCACGGCAGCCGCCCGTGGGCAAACAAATCAGTCTCCAGCGTGCCGCTGTCCAGCAACCTCGAATCTGTAGGGGAGGGGGGGCAGACATGACTCGCGGCAGTATTTTGAATTTGTAACCGTTTTGGCCACATTCTTACATACAGCGCCTTTAAAACCTATTTTTGTTATACTATGCTGGAGTAGAGTTCACAGAATAAATGTTTGGCTGACAAATCTGCTACATTCAAATCCATTCCCTAATGATCTGGGCCTCTCTATTTTAAATTAGGGATTCTCAACAATGCCAAGTAAATGTGGTCTTCAATACTCTGAATTGAATAACGGGATAAGGTTCCATGGTTATGGAAAATTAATGGATGAATGAATGAGGCTAGTGTGTGGTTAGGTGTAGGCACACAAACCACTTAGTTATAGTTAGAAAAAGATCATGTTTTAGCTTAAAATACATAGTCTGGGAGGCACAATTCCTGTTAGAAACATAGAAATGTCTGTGTAAAAAACACCTGTTTTTTGTGGCACTTTGCCAGCTGGAAACGCAGCAACGGGTCACTTAAAAACACTTACATTTGGTGGCTAAACAGCCGCTGGAAACACAGCAAAGTCTGGCTAAAAAAAAAGTCTGGTTTTGTTGTTTGTTGGTCTCATACAGTGGACTGCCTTGGTCTGCAATTTCTCAGCTGTGTTCTCCAGGAGGGATGAATTTATGGTTCCAACTGTCAATAGTCAGATTTATCACAAATCTGTATGAAATTTCTGGAGGACTGGCAAAAGAAAATTCAAATTACTGTGTGTTTCCACCCACTACTGTTACATGCATATTTGGAGTGGGTTCAGCAAGATAAACAGTTGATGAGGTTATTTCTCCAGTCGGGTGCCCTTAAACCACTGCAGAATAAGATGCTTGAAACGATAAAAAACGTGGCACTCATTTTGTTTCATGTATTTTTGGACAAAACATTACAATCCACACATATCTGAATTTATGTCTGCTATTATTTTTGATCTCTGTGTCATTAGCCTTTCATCTGTTGTGGTCTAGGTCTTAACATGTTACCAGCATCCCTCCTGACTCAGACTTTAAGAACTCGCTCCAGCAGTTTACTGCGAATAAATCATGAAAAAACACACTGTGGTGAACACATGGAATACGGCTCCTCCGCTCATGCAGAGATTCTCAGGGAAAACTGAAATTCCTTTGACCTATAAAGTGACACATGGGGGGAAAAAAAGGGACAGATAACAGCATACTGTATGAGACGTGGTGGACTATCAGAGGTAGCAGTCTGGCCAGCTTTGAGAGGCAGTGCGTTTTCTTTGGCAGGGAAACACAAACTCCTGGTCATGCTGTGGACTGGTCCGTCCACTGATGTGTAAAACAGATAGTGGGTCTGTCACCGGTGTTTTCTTCCCCTCGTTCTTTCCATCTGCTCTCCTTGGTGTTTCGTCTCTGCTCACACACCGTCTTGACACTTTCTGCAACACTGAAATGCACTTTCTGACTTAATTTGTCTAGATGTTTTTGCACCTAATCACTACTTTCTCCCATTTAAAATACTTCCTCTGTGAATTCGTTTGATCTAAAATACCACGCTGCATTCCAAATGCTAACTTCTTTTAAGTTTAGTGATGCTAGTGTACTGTGCTGGTGGTATGTATGATATCAAAGATATGTTGGCCAAAACTCTGAGAACTTCTGTGTGAATTTCCTCATAAACTCTAGTACTGTAGTAATCCCAAGAAATATACTTTTTGTACAGCAGACATTATCTGATTCACACATGCAGATACACTCACAAGGTGCTGTTTTAGTTATCAGGGCGTGTTTGCACAACCACATCTTACGAGTTCTGGGTCACGGCTTTCAAAACAAGTTCATGGAAACAGCTGTTAGCAAGTGGACTCAAGAGATGAGGGACATTGGCAAGAGTTTTTACCTGAACCCAACTTCTGGTTCAGTTTACTCAGATGCTTTCAGGACCTTTTGCTTAGAGGTTTTTGGCCAAATATACACATTATTCATTGAGTATTATAAGTGTTGCACTTGGCTCAAAGGACCAACTCCTTGGGAAACATTTCATACATTCATACCTAAAGCAGAAAAAGACAGAGTAGGCAACAGTCTACATACCACTCTATCAAACCCCAGTTTAACAATGTAGAATGAAGAGGCATTGAAAAACCAAAAGAAGAAAAACAGAGTAGCTAGTATTTCCCTTCTCTCCTGTCAGCAGCCAGCTGTGTTGGTCTGCCTCCAGTAAAAATAGAAACTCAGACTCCAAAGTCCAGCAGAAACAGTTGGTAGTTTGATGTGCGGCAGAGTTGGTCTCCATAGTTTTAAAATGAATGATCGAGAGCCATGTGACCTGAGGTTGCTTACCGGATTCTAAGGATTAATCTGCGTGACTGAGAAGAAGAAGAAGAAAACAGACAGGCAGGTTGGAGGACAGTCAGCATGAGCTACAGAAGATGCCAGGGCAGCAGTTTTTCGTCAGTTAGATGTATACGGGGGACCACCTACTCTCACAAAGGGACTGAAAGCATAAAACAAATCTTGATACTTTATAAATCATGGGTCATCCAAGTCCATGTAAAAAAGCTGGCATGTGGGTTTGTTACATTTGGATGGAGCCAGGGTGGCTGTTACCCCCTGTTTCCTGTAGCTGTGCTACGCTAAGCTAACCTGCTGCTAGTGGTAGCTTCATATTTACCTTACAGACAGTGATATTGACTGTATCATCCAACTCTTGTGAAAGTATTCCTTTAAAGGTTCAATTTCAATTCAGTTCAATTCAATTTTATTTATAAAGCACAATATCACAATCCCAGTTTGCCTCAGAGAGCTTTACAACGTACGACATCCCTCTGTCCTTGGACCCTCACAGTGGATAAGGAAAAATGTTGAAACTCACCCCAAAAAAACCTTTAACAGGAAAAAAATGGTAGAAACCTCAGGAAGAGCAACTGAGGAAGGCCAGCTAAAGCCACAATACATCAATATATTTACTCGTCAGTACCTCTTATGTTAGGATTTCTAATGTTGGGTGGGCACTGAGATTATGATACGGGGCACTGAATTTGATGGATTTTCTGGCAAACGAGAGTTAGTTAGCTAGTACAGCCTGTGGACCCTCTGCCTCACTTCCTGGTGCTAAGGCAATATTTCCCCGGAAGGAGACTGGACAGCAGTTCGGACCTTAGCTGTTGTAGCAACCTGAATTCAACCAGTCCAACCACAGCCATTGAGTTCACAGTAGGCTGGTGGCCAGCAGCAGCAGGGTGTCTAATCTGTGCAACAGCAGCAACAGAAAGTTTGCTGATGCGCTGGGGACTTGGGCAGTCTAGGATCAGACCCTCTACAATCGAGAGCTTGATATTTCTCTGGCTAAATAGAGGAATGAATCCTAAAACCAAAAATTAGTTAGCATTTTACAATTCCTGGTTCCGTCGTCAAAATGTCAGTGGGGTTTTTAAACGGGTTTTTGTTAAGATGCCTAAGGTCTGTGGTTAATACAAGCTCAAGAGACAGAAAATTTTATGTGTCTTTAAAGGACGGTTGCTAAAAAGTTTCTAAATGAAACTACAGAACGTCATCTTGCCGAACGTGGCTTTACAGCCTCGTTGTGGTGGTGACATTAAGTCATACGACTGGTGTAGTTTGTTTGTAGCCTAACAATAGCTTTTTAATTCTGGTAATTTAATTTAGGTTTCAAAAATCAAAAAAAGTTGTTTATTTATGAAGGTTATTTTTGCTGAACAAAACGTGTCAGTATTTCTGCAATAACTGAAAATCCAATGGAAAAAATCTCATAGGCATTTTGAGGGAACCACGGCGACACTAACTTCCATGTTGGCCTACAGAAAAACGTCATACCTGGAGCACTCTATTTCAGGTGCCAAAGGGCACTAAGGGAAGGTCTGTCTTTGCCAGGCTGCTGCTGCAAAATGTATATAACTGAAACATCATGTGTGGACTGTGTTGTGGTCAGTGCAGGTCATTTGTTGAAGTTAGCAGACTCCATTTCGTAGCTAACGTTAGCTACTGTTGCAAAATTATGGCGCTATAGTGGAGCTTTAGAGAGACAAGGCTTTTGGGAACGTGAATAATGTCACATCCTTTGGATTGTCCCAGAAAAAAGGCCAGATTCCTTCACATAAAAGTCAGTCCAGAAGGCTGCTAAGGGCAACTAAGAAAGTCTTGGAAAGTCTGTTTTTAAGTTTCATTACAATCTGTTCATCCATTTGCAATAAAAATGATTAATACATGTATAAAGTTACATACAGTACCTTTAATGCTGAATCTCAGGATATTGTTTAATGTAATTTGATATAAACATAGACAATGTCTTCATTTCTAACTTTTCATCTGCTACAATAATTTTAATTTTAAATTTTATAATCAACTAACAAGGTCTGCTCTTTTATTCTGCATCGTTCCCTGCAGGCTACATGGTCCACAGTGCCTCATATGACGACGTTCTCAACAACAGATGGTCCTCCAGACTCTCCAGTGGGACACACCTGCCTGTGGAGAATCTCAAGCCCAATTCCAGGTAACACATCATCACCTTTTGTGTGTGTTTATACCATTGTATATGCATGTGTACAAAACACACACAGTGATTCATAGCATCATCTCACACATGGGAGTCATAGAAAAAGCAAACCTGAACTTACAAGCAAAGATATGCTCGGTTGCATGATCCTTTACCCTGACCTACATGTAATGTTTATAGCGAGGTTGCTGCAGGTGCTTGGCTGCGGCTGAATGTTTATATCATAGTCCTGTCATCGCGTAGTACACAGAATATGCATCTTGTCTGGATGTTTGTGTGCATGCATTATTCCATGTTTATGTGGGAATATGTTTCCAATTGTGATATCCGACCAGGCTGACGCTGATGGGAGCAGAGTGCGAGTTGGACGCTGATACTGTAATGTTTGTGTAAGAGATCCGTAAAACCCTCAGAGTGAAGTAAATCAGTTTGGCTAAATAGAGGCAGGTTAGGAAACACATTTGATTCTCCACCAAAATGTGACATGCTGTAAAACTCTTGGAGATCTTGGAAAATGCAGATATTATCTGACACTTCCACACGGATACTGTCACCTCGGTCTGTTTCAGTTATTAGAGCGTGTTTCCAAAACTCTGTCTTACGAGACACAGGTTATGCTTTTTAAAATAAATGCATGGAAACAGCTCTTAGCATGTGGACCCAGGAGAGGAAGGGAGAGCTGTTGCCCAAAAACCTATTTTTTGCTCCATTTACCGCTGTGCATAAAACATCTTTTGCTTGAAAGTGTAAATTATGCAGGTAAAAGTTTGTGCTGTAGCGTTTTAGCAGATATACTGTTTGATCGATTTCACGTGGGGCTTAAGGATCACAATGGGCGCATATCTGTTTATCAGTTTGAGGCAAGTTAGATACTACAAATGGTCTTCTACCACTGGCTAAATACATCCCGATGAAGCACTGGAAGACAGCTGAATAAATGTCAGACAGGTGAAACTGCTAGCAAGCTGTATGTCATACTACAATCTGGTGGAAAACCACTTTCAGATGTGTGAGTTCATCAAGGATAGAAGTAACCTCTTGCACGTTGGAGGCGCAAATTTGCTTAAGGTGTTATGATAGGTGTCTCATCTCGGGCCTTAGGTAACCAAACACCTGCTGCTGAACACAAACAGAGCTGTGTGCATTGGGTAAAGTTTTCCAACAGTCTGCAGAGAGGGATTCCCTCCCTGACAACCAGTTTGTATTCATGATAGTGTGCCTCCCGTGGTTACGGTTGATTCTGGGATGGTTTCTGCGACAGGGTTGGCATTTCCCATGCTGCAGGCTCCTTCTGGCTGCCAGAACCACTGAGCTACTATAGTACTGAACACACACAGATGTATGTACACTCACATGTGGATCCATGAGTTTTTTTGCTCATGTAAACTGAAATGTAGTGATTTTCAGGACTCATCCCACTGGATGATTTTACACTTTGGATCTTTATAGAGATGCATGTCATTGTTTGAAGCAATACTTCACCCCCCTAATTACCATTTGTATATAAATTACTCACCATGTGTTAAGCTGAATATCAGACACAAGGGTGGACTCACAAACGCAGACTGAGACGCAATCCAAAGTTCAGGGTTCCTAAACACAGTCAGGGTCAGTACACAAAAGGCAGTCAGCACAAACAGAGGTAACCAAATCAACAGGCAAAAACTCACTGGTCTGAATACGAAAAAGGTAAAGCTCACGAGGAATACATGCTAGGACGAACACCAGAAAGCTCACATGAAGGACAAGACAATCTATCAGAGAACAAAGGGAAGACACAGACTTATATAGAGGGGGTATAATGAGACACGAGTGAAAGCAATCAGACAATCAGGGTGGTGGGAAACTTGACAGGACATAGAGAGACAAACAACAGACTTTCAAAATAAAAGAGGAGAACAGCACATCACATTCAAACCCTGACGCTGAATTTGTGAAAAAACTTTCTTGCATGCCTCCACAGTGAACAAGAAATCCCATAACGGAGAAACTTCTTGATGAATTGGGGTAAAAGGAGGCTGCATTAAACAACAGCAAAACATCCATTTACAAAATCTTACGCAACTTGTACAGTAAAATCCAAGTCTCATTTATCCAGGCGTATGCTCAGTACTTCCCAAACTCATGCATTTTTGCTAAAACCTTACTATTTGAAAATGAACTAAAGTTGAAACTTGTCTATGCTCTCTTCAAAGCCAGACTCCATTGACAAAACGAGTAATTTTACCTCACAGAACGCAGGAGCTGCTGGTCTACCGCTGCCTCGATTAGTTGGTTAATTTGTGTTTTTTTGTGTGACTTTGGTGTTTCAAAGGGTTAGTTTGGATTGACCAAAATAACACAACAACCTAACGATGGAAGTAGCGGACGACCAGCAGCTCCTGTGTTCTGTGAGGTAAAATTACTGGTTTTATCAGTGGAGTCTGGATCCTTGTCAGAAAGGGCTGTCTGTTGGGAAGCATAGGGCATACGACTGGATAAATTAGACTTGGATCACAATGCACAAGTTGTTTGTAAGTCTGCAAATGGATGATTTGATGAAGTTTTGCTGTTGTTAAGTTCAATTCATCAAGAATTTTCTTAATTTTTGGACTTTCCATTCACTGTAGAGACACGCAAGATTTCTTCACGGATTTAACGTAACATGGGGTAAGTAGTTGCCACATCGATTTTCATCCGAAGACAAGAAGAGCAATGCTCTGAATGAAGCTGAGCGATCTCTGTATTGAAAGTTTCAAATGGCCAGTTTGGCTCGATGCAGCGTTTTGTGGTCTATTCTCTGTTTTTACATTCTGACTCACATTTTCTTTTTCTTTTTTTCTACCTTCTCCAATATCTTCTCCAATTTCTTCTTTCATTACATCATCTCTCTGCAGCTGCCTTGCTGCCTCTCTCTCTCTCTCTCTCTCTCTCTTTCTCTCTCTCTCTCTCTCTCTCTCTCTCTCTCTCTCTCTCTCCGCTGGTGATATGTATTTTGGTCACTGTTGTCACGTGGCTGTGGTGATTGGATCCAGGCCTCGTGGCTGTACGTGGTGAACGTTTTTGGCTGGGGATTGACAGACCATGAACTTACTGTGTGCGACCTTGCAGACTGAGAGGGAGCACACATGCAGACAATACTGCATTACACACACTTGCACAAACACATCTGCTATGGAAAAGTTTGCAAACTCTTCAAGTTGTCACTGGCGGTGTTGTTTTTAATCTGATAGGATTTTATAATTCCTCCACCAGCCGAAGACAAAGTGAGCTCACTGCTCTGTGAGAACTTTCTCGTCTGAGGACTACTCTTCTCTTTCATCCAATTTATTCTTTGCCCTTCAGCGTATGTACCCCTGTGCTTTACTTTTTCCACATCCCTTCTTTTTTCTGTCTTTCACTCTTATGTTCTATCCTCCTATCTGTTAATCTCCACTTGTCTAGATGTCTCTTTTTCCCCTCACCCCTCCCTCCCCCCACTCGCCTTCCCTCCTTCTCCCTTCAACACAAGCCAAATAGCCATTTTATTGTGCTGCGCTCACTTTGGATTCATACGAATATAAAACAGACTACTCTTGAATCAGCCTGACTGAAGCATGCCCAGTCATCTGCTATGGTCATTAACACTGTCCTCACCTTCACCCAGTCACAACAACACTGGCAGAATGACACTTTAACTACAAAATCTCTCAGTGAATCCATCTGTTGTGGTTTGTTTTCACTCAGGTACTACTTCAAAGTGCAGGCCAAGAATGTGTTTGGTTTGGGACCCTTCAGCGATACGCTCACCTATGTCACAGAATCAGGTGTGTATCCTGTCATCGCCTACAAAGATAAACTTTAAGACGCCCTATTGACTACAGTTCAACTTTTAGTTAAATTGGCTTTAGATTTTCTTCAGTATGCAACGAAAATATCACTGTGACGTTCATTGTGCTGCAATGCAAGATATTCAAATATAAAACCATTTCTGCAGTAAAAGCCACCTTCCAGATGTGCTCTGCATTATGTGCACTATGGGTCTTTTCATTCACAAAATCAGGTGAATGCATTAAACCTGCGGTGCTGACTGTGTGTATTTCCTCCCTTGTGAAATGATCGCATTCTTTCTTTCAGACGATCCTCTTCTCATCGAAAGACCACCTGGTAAGTCCATACGCCGGCTGCACGACTCTAATTTAAGGTCAATGAGCTACTGAAGCTGCGCTGAGGTCTTAAAGAAAGAGACGGCGTTCTGTTAAACAACATGACAACATATAATAAATCTGTGCGGATTTTCACCTTCAACTATTTACCATCAGTAGCCCTCTTATGATTGCTACTGAGTATATGAAAAGGTCATTCTCCTTCCCTCTCTGAATCCTTGCCAGACTTTTCCTCAAGAAGGAAAATGTATTAAGACGAAATATAGAAGAAACACAAGACACATGAATAGAATTTAAAGGGACAGTTCACGCCCAAATCATAAAATACATATTTTTCATATTACCTGTAGTGCTATTTATCCATCTCCATTTTTTTGGTGTGAGTTGCTGACTGTTGGAGATATGGGCTGTAGAGATGTCTGCCTTCTCTCCTGTATAATGGAACTAGATGGCACTCGGCTTGTGGTGCTCAAAGCACCAAAATAATACATTTGAAAAACACAACAGCAATGTCTCTGTCCAGAAATCATGACCCAGTTAGTCAAGATAATCCACAGACCTTGTTGTGAGCAGTTTCATGTAGGAACTATTAATACGGAATGACATTTGCCAGCCGTATCACAGCGCAGAAGGAAGTGTGCATCTACTCATGGATGAGAGGCTCATGCTTGTGACAGTATCAAATGTAAACGGTGCGGCTGTGGCTCAGAGGTAGAGCGAATTGGCAGCTCAGTTCCCAGCTCCTCCAGACCGCATGGCAAAGTTTCCTTGGGAAAGACACTAAATCCAATGGCTTGTCCGTCAGTGTGTAGAGCGTGGGAATGGCTATCGAGTAGCAGGTAGTACCATGCACAGTACCTCAGCCACCAGTGTGTGAATATGTGTGAATAGGTGATTGTGACGTAGTGTAAAAGCACTTTGAGTGGTCAGAAGACTAAAAAAAAAAAGTACATGTGCAGTCCATTTACCATTTAAAAATTAATGGCGTCCTCCTTGGCTGAGCTGTCAAGTCAGTTAGCTAGCAGTAGATGCACATTTCCATCAAGCTGAGTGCCATCTAGTTCCATTATACTGTAGAGAAGGCAGACATCTCTACGGCTGATATGTCCAACACTCACTCAAAAACCATCTAGACTGATAAATAGCGCTACAGGTCAGATGAAAAATATGTGTTTTTGCTTTAGGGGTGAACTGACCCTTTAAAAATGGCAAAGTTAAATAGAAAAGAAGCTAAATTAAATAAGACAGATTGAACAGGAGAGCACAAATTTCAGTGCAGCAGAAGGTATAAATGAATAATCCCAAATTAGATACTGGCAAACAGAAACGTTTTCAACATTGATTTAAAAGAACTGAGAGTTGGAGCGGACCTGAAGTTTCCTGTGAGTTTGTTTCAAATATATGAGGCATTAAAGCTGAACGCTGTTTCTTCATTTTTAGCTTTGATTCTGGAGACAGGAAGCAGACCCTCACCAGACAGTCTGAGATGTCTGAAAGGTTCAGAAAGGATCAAAAATGTATTCTGGCCCTTAAACCCTTCAGCGCTTTGTACCAGTCGAAGTTTAAATCATTGTCTGAATTTGGCTGCCATCTGCCATTTAATATCTGACCATAAGAGTTACACCTGTTTCTGATAAAGTTTGATATACTATCAGAGATCGTTTTTAGTGTTCAGCTTTACAGACAATATGTACTGTATTCTCTTTATCCTCTCACCTTCCTCTGTGTATTCATAATGTGTTTATGCATCACATAATGCATCTCCTCCTCTGCTCTTCAGGTGGAGAACCAATCTGGATCCCCTTCACCTTCAAGTATAACTCAGCCCACAGCAGCTGTAAGGGCAGCCAGTATGTCAAGCGGACGTGGTACAGGAAGTTTGTGGGAGTCGTATTGTGTAACTCTCTGCGATACAAGATCTTCATGGGAGATGGTCTTAGAGGTAACGTACGACTTCACCTCTGTTTCAAATCAGCCTTTTCCCAGTGTTATCATTAAAACAATCCTAATCTTGATTCCCACTGCATCCCTTTCCCTCCACAGAGCCATTTTACAGTATAGGAGATACATTTGGTCAAGGAGAGGACCACTGCCAGTTTGTGGATTCCTACAGGGACGGGAGGACAGGTCCAGCCTACCTATCGAATTATCTGCCCTCAGCACAAGGTAAACAAGTTGCACATTTGTGGCCTTGATACGTAGACCTAACCTATTATCATTTTTTCCATGCAGTCTGGCTCCCCGGCTTCCTAATGGACCAGCTGCATTGATCTTATCTGTGCAGAATACAGACGCACACTAGTGTTTAAAAGAATACTTGTTAAAGGACCTACCAGGGTTTTGCATGTTTTGGCCCAAAACCTCACATGCTTTTCATTACTGCAAACCATTCTCCTAATTATACCATAACATCTTAGATTAATGCTGTAACTTCCTAGCAGTTAGTGGTTTCAGGTCATATCAGTACATAGTGAGAGTTCCTGAAACTTGCTTGGGATAAGTAATTCACCACAGTGAGGATCATTTACTGGTAGTTGGCTTTTTTCTATTAAAGTTACATTACCCTAATGAGGTAATGTAGTTAAAAGTGTTGTGAAAACTTTCTCTTGTTGTTGTGTTTGACATCCAAGACTTCAGTCAGCTGTTATTTAGCAATGTTTTCAATACAAGAAAAGACTATATTTTTGCTTACTCTTTGCCGCCTGGGTTTAATTTCTCAGTAACATACCTTGTGAATGCTGTAGATGTACTGTATGTTGAAGAAATGACACTAGGTCGTTTGTACAAGCAGTTAATTGCAACCAATATTCAAGTTAAGTGAAGGCAGCGACCTCTAGTGACTGTAGTAATTATGACGGGAACAAAGGAGGAAGTCAGGTGACGTAGTATAAAGGGCGACAAAGACACAGGACTTTGACCCAGGACACCGAGATTCGTGACCCATGTGAGTCCAAAGGTCAACGTTATTTCTTTTCAGTTTAATGCCCCCTAAGTGCGGTTCATTTGGGCAGGTGTGAACCCAGCAATCACACTCAGGTGCACACAAAAACAACTGGAACAAGACCTTCTTGAAGAGGTGGCCTCGGTCCAGTTACAAACAAACTCTGGTGCGGTTCATTTGTGGTGAGAATGTGTTCAGACCTCGATCTGAACCAACTGCAGTCACATGACACATTGTTTGGGTTAAACATGAGCATGTTACAGTCCTGGAGGATTATTAATGTGCGCCTGCTCCTGTACTGCCTTAATATGCACATTCAGCACATCCAATGCATCAAAACATTGTTTTCTAGTTGGAGCTGCGTCTCGTTTTCAAACTGTATGGTTTGACTAAAATGAACAATGACAGCAATATAGTCCATGATGACCAGCGCTAAAATCAACCTGCGTAGTTGTCCCTCCATTGTGACATTAGAAAGTGTCACATTTATCTTGCAAGTGTACTCTTCTTCAACGTTTTGTTTACTTCCTGGATTTTTCCCACATGGAAATTCTGACCAATCAAGAGCAACTTTCTCATGCAAGGCATTTGATCTGGTCCGCTTGTAAATACTGCCGTCAGAACACAAACCAACTCTCGGCAATTATGCAGCTTTGTAACAAAATTAGTCCCTGATTCAGACCAAAGCAAGACAACTCTATGTCTGGAAGCACCCTTATGTTACATTCTTAACGCCACATTGTCACAGTATATCATCACACCATGTCATCACAGTATTTTAATACTTACTCTGGTATTTCTCAGCCTGGATCACATTTTTCCATGCTTTTGTGTCTAAGTGACTAATGGGAACAATTTTTGAAACTAGTCTAGTATTGAGACAGAGTGCTGCAGCCAGCAGCGGCAAAACAAGCAACGATGTAACAACACAGGGCAGGTGCGCCCCTTCAGTTTACTTCTCAGACTTCTCATTAGCGAAACTTGGACGCAAAACAGAATGGAGCAAGCTAAAGGTACAGAAAAACATCACATATCTCTGTAGTGTCCTGTCAGTAATGTTGTAAAACACTCATAATGACAATCTGAGCCTGTCTGTGGTGAAAACAAGCACGTTAAATGGAGGTAAATTGACAGGGCGCACCTGCCCCGAGTGGTTACATACAGTAGCTCAACTGTAGTCTGTTTCACTGTTGCATGCTGCAGTGCTTCGACATCATACCAGAACCCTTTTTTCCCCTTTAAGACTGGGCTACATCAATATTTTTCTTGTTGTTAACTAAGCCAGTGAAAAGGCTTAACATTTTGTCATCTGCCAATATGAGGCTACTGATTTTCCTACCCTATTTGTGGCACACAGCATCAAGCCCATTGAATGGGTCACATATATATTATTTCATTTTTTAACAAAGCTCAGTAACATTCTTAACAAACTGGGCACTGTAGTTTTAAAGTAAACATTATTGAAACTGTACTAAATGATGCATTTGTTGGGGACTATTTTTAGCTGCGGAATAAGACAAATTTGGTGCACAAGTGAATATTCACAGGTCGGTGTGTGTGCGATCTTATTCAAAATAACCTTCAGTGCCCATTTCATTATAAGGAACAGGTCACCCAGTACAGTGGTGTGGCTCATTGGTGTGTTTTTAATAGTTTTGGACAAAATGTGGTACAAATATTATCACTTGATTAAGTGAGTGTTATACATGGATAACGGCATCATAGATATGGGTAAGAAGGATCCTGCTACACCGACTAGTGTGTTTAGAAAGCCGTTATCAGCATATTAAATAGTTGTTTTTTTTATTGTTACCTGGCAACGGAGGAAGTCAGCTGATGTAATGTTAGTACAAAGAGTGAGAGTTTCCACATAGAGAGGCTGGTGGGAAGGCGGATGGGTCAAACACAGGACTTTTTCCCAGGAAACCAGGACGCAGGTCCCGTGTGAAACCAAAAGGCAAATGCTGACCTTTTTTAAATACGTGACATGGTGTATATCACGCAACATATGTAACTTATGGCACTTGACCTATGCCACATACTTATTTTGAGCCAAACCAAGATGTATTTTCTGAACCTAAACACCTTGTCTTGGGCGCTTTAACTCAAGAAAAGCAAAAGTAAAACCTAAGGACACGTCTCCCAGTGCCAACGGGTATTTATTGCTCTAATAACAACATTCTGAAGATATGTTTCAGTGTAGCGGGACTCTTCTAACCCATATCTATGACGCTGATCACCATGTGTAACACCCACTTAATCAAGAGACATTCAAATTAGGTGGACCTGACAACAATGGAGGTCTACAGCAGGGAAGAAAAGCTTCATCAGGCATTGGATACACAGACAATACTTGTCTTTTCATAAGATTTGTAGAATAAGAAGAATATAGAACATGATTTCAGATGCAAGAGGCTCTTGAAGACTACAGAATTGCCATCAAGTCAAGGAGAGAAATAAGAAAGTGATTATATCCAGACATGCTCACTATTTGCTGCATTCAAACCTCCTGATACATGTCTTTAAATGATTCTTAACAACATCATCGTTTCTTTGTTTTGCAGGATTTTATCGCGCCTACAGACAGGAGCCAGTCTCATTTGGAGTTATTGGCCGACGCACAGCCCATCCATTCGTGGGCTGGTATGAATGCGGGGTGCCCATCCCCGGGAAGTGGTAACACAGGAGACATTGTTACCGAGGGCAACCCTTCTGCATCCTGCTGCAGGCTCTTACCTTCACTGTCCCTGCCCTTAAAAAACAGACTCTTGCCTGCCACAATGAAACAATGACACCACTACAAATTTATTACAGCTTCACAGAAAGAGAATATAGTACTTTTTAAACAATTCAATGTATATCATTACAATGCACTTTTTATATAAAGCAGTCTGTATATGAGGGGAAAAAGAAGCATGTGTGCTCTTGCTCAGTTTAACTCTTGTCTTAAAGTGTCCTTGTACTATTCCCAGCTATCCCAGAGACAGGTCCTCACCCAGTGTTATTTATCTCATCAATAATGCACACATGTGGTCAAACAAGTGACATTGGACCAAAGCACAAGCTGCAAAGCAAACTGTAAGAATGGGCACTCAAGGTGTGTATAGGTCTGTTAATTTTCAATCGTGAGATTTGTATTTCATAATGTAACGGCTTCTGACAGCTACTTTTTTTGTTTGTTTATTTGTGTCCTTAAGCCATCATACTGTTTTACTGTTTTTAACACCTTTTTGGTATTCACCAGAATTCATTAAAAGTTACTGTGTAAGTTTTTTTTTTATGTATACGGACAAAGAATAAAAGACCAAATATTTGCTCAGGAATTGTGAGAGATTGAATAAAGGTGTTATGGAAACCACAGCAATCCAAAAACATGAATCATATCATATTCTCCCGCTGCCACATTCTTTTCTAGCAAAAGCTTCCACACGTGATCCAGATCTACTTAATCAACCTAATGGAAGATTTGAGTAACAGAGAGGGTTTGGTGGAGCCAGCTGGAGCAGCAACTGTTAAAAATCAGACGAGACGTCAAAAACAGCATATTGTGGACAGAAGCAGGTGAGCAAAGAGAGATAAAATACCACTTCATTGGCTTTAAAGATGTGAGCGAATGTGGAGGGAACCATCAGCCATGTGTGGAGCATTAACACACTGCCCCATAAATATACAAATTGGATTTGTAATGCATACCTTTTGCACCATAATTAGATTTGGCTTGGTGGAGAGGAACTAAATACATTTACTCAAGTGTTTTCCTTAGGGGAGCAGTGTGTACGGTTTAGGAAGATTTAGTGGTGTCTAGCAATAAGGATCGCAGATTTCAACCAGTGGAAACTTCGCCATTTAGATCTCCTTCAGTGTTCATTGTTCAGGAGGTTTTTACCAGCAGCTGAATTATCTGCAGAAGTCTCTTTCTCTCCAAAATAAACAGACCAGGTGACCACAAACAGGAGACAGGCAGTTGGCACAACTGCTAATGTGTACTCGCCTTTTTTTCTCTGGTAACTTCAGATTCAGACGTTAAGGAGGGTCTTATGAGGAGCCAAATTATTCACAGAGGTCTCTTCCTCTTTAAAACAAACGGGCCAGGTGGTTACAACTGGTAAAAACACTGAATAAAGTTTCACGTTATAAAATTGGTTGTTTTTCTGGCACTTCTCATCACAATAGGGCTTTTAACTACGGTGCCAATGCAAAAATGTGAGTGGCCCTATCCAAAGCCAGTGTTTGGTTTGTCTGTTTTCAGCTGCTGTAGAAAGGACATGGCCATCTCTGAAGACAAGGACCTGCTCCCTCTGTAGATATAAAAGGCTAACAACAATATGATTCTTATTTGCAGGTACAACTACACTACACTGAAGAAAACAATTCCATTTTTGCCGATATATTCCCCTAAATATTACACACTGGACCTATAAGTAGAAATTCGTTCATTTCAAAACCTGAAGTATTGAAAGTATGCCAAATGTGAGTACTCGAGTATCTCGTGAACGTGGTGCCCGGAGAGGCAGTTAGAGCTACAGGCTACAATGAGGCTAAAAGGCGAGCTAGTTTCGTTGTGTTTGAGAACACTGTTGAACGTAAACAGAAGTGAAATGTTTTTGTTGCCATTTGTGGAGCCTGGGCTGCCTACAGAGACCGGACTTTTTCACAGCATATTCAGAGGACATGTAGCTAGCGGATCACGAGGAGATGTTTGCTGTATGTGACAAAAACTTTTCAAGCTTAGGGAGACTTAGAGAGCCTTTAAGGAAAAGTACCAATACTACACTGTAGAAATACACCATTAATGTAAACGTCCTGCACTGAGAATGTGAGAACTTGGGTTGGGAACCAGAGAGTCGCCTGCTCAAGTCCCCGTCTGGACCAAAAATATGGAGCGTGGACTGGTAGCTGGAGAGGTGCCAGTTCACCTCCTGGGCACTGCCGAGGTGCCCCTGAGCAAGGCACCGAACCCCCCCCAACCGCTCGGAGCGCCTGTCATGGGCAGCCCACTCTGACATCTCTCTACTTAGTGCATGTATAGGTCCAGTTTGTGCATGTGTGTGTTCGGACCTGTGTGTAATTGACAACAGAGTGAAAAATTGAATTAAATTTCCCCTCGGGGATTAACAAAGTATATAAAATTAAATTGGCCGTAGGTGAATGGTTGTCTGTCTCTATGTGTCAGCCCTGTGATAGTCTGGCGACCTGTCCAGGGTGTACCCTGCCTCTCGCCCAGTGTCAGCTGGGATAGGCTCTACTTGCAAATTTGGTCTTCCTCTTTTGTCTTGGAACGCTTTTGTTTTTCATTTTATCTTACTCTGATGCTGTCCACATGCACTCAACTCCACCACACCCATCGATGCTCTAGCACAGCGGTTCCCAACTGGTGGGTTGCGGGGCAAAAGTGGGTTGCAGGTCCATTCTGAATGGACTGCAAGTGTGTTGAGTTTGTAAAAAAAAAAAAACAACAACTTTATTTTAAAGTACAGTGAATTTCTGGCACAGAGCTTTTATTTTGAAGTGCCGTAGAGTGAGTGACTAACTAACGGAAAGCTACTTGACAGAGACAGCAAACCAGCTCAAAGACATGGTCAAACGCTAGTATGATGCTGAATGTCTCAAACTGTGTGGACCAATTGAGGAGAAATGTGGACCCTGTGGCTGGATCAGTTGGGAGCCACATGCTCTAGCATGTTCTGACTGTGATGATCACCTACTGGCAAACACATTAAGGTGAACTGTGTTGCTGAGACTCGAAGTGGTACCCCTGCTACAGTCCGACTGTAAGCATTAGATCTTTGTATCACTTTTCCCTTATGTTTTGTTTGTATTTATTTATTTATATGTCTGGCTGGTGTCTCAGACAGCTGCCTATGTCACCTACAGGAAGATATGCCACTGAATTTAAGCAGGATTGTGAATATAGGACTTACTTGTGATGATAAGTATTTTTACATTTTTATAATACTGGTACTTTTACTCCAGTAAAGGTGCTGAAAAATTCCTCCACCGCTGCCTGAAACAGTACCCACATCTGCTGTGTTAGATTTGGAAAGGCCCAGCGTAAAACATTTGTCGAACAGATTTTCATTGGTATATTCTGGATCATCTCAAACTGAATATTAATCCAATTACCTGACAGACGAGTCGGAATTTGCGTCTGATGTTGCTAACGTCAGATAAAAATCTTTCACACGGAGTAGACTTTCATTTTCATGCCCAACGCCAGATATGGTGCTCAAGATTTGAATGTTTTGTTTGAACAAGAATTATAGTCCATCTGTGTAAAATAACTGTGATATAAAAAAAGAAAAAAGTATGATCATAAGTGGGTCAGCAGCATTATAAACCAGGTGAAAAATATTTCACAGATGAGGCTTAATGAATGGAGGTCTATTTTGCATGTGATGCCAATTAGTCATTACTACAGTTATGAGATTTTGACATTCATACTTAGGATTGATCACTCCTTCCGTAAGCCCAACAGCAGAACCAGAGCTGCCCTTCGCAGTGCTTGCCTAAAACTGATTACAACTGTCAGCTCTGACTCGGTGTGAAAAATTGATGACATCCAGCAGCAGCCAAGCTACTCGTTTTCAACACATAATGCACAATTCAGCCTCATAGCAATGCCTAATATATCACTTCTATTAATCCCAAATTCCTCCTGGAGTGGAATAAGATTTCTATAACGCACAAGAGACGAGAGACTTTATCATTATGCTATAATGCTACAATTACTCTGCAGGTATGAGCCAAAAACGGAGTTGAAAGTTCACTCAGGTTAGCGCAAGAAATATAGCCGTGAAAGTGCAGACTCTCTCCAAAAATATTGCTTTTATTCCACGATAGGCAGAGTTGATACAGCTCTTACTTCCAGTGCTTAAACTCTGCACAGTATCAAAGGTCTAACCTGCAATCTCTTATCTGAGAGGCACAGACGATACTTTGTTGAAATTGGCTCTGGTGTGCTATGGCAGTCAGATTTAAAAGACATTAAATGCAGCTTGAGTTCTGAGGGGGCATAAAATATTTCCCCTGGGCAGCGATGGAGAGATAGTGGTTGTTTTTGGAGTGATTACTGACCAATTGTCAACACTTTGGTGGATGATTGTCAGATTTCAAACATATTTTCCAGGTATGCTGTGTGTGGATGAAAGCCTCTGCTTCCATGTGTTTTCAGTGAGCGATGAGCCTCTCTTTGCCCCCAAATATTTTCATTGGCTGCAAGTTGCGGTGCCATTTGGCCTGAGAGAATAATCCTGTGTAATACAAAGCATCATGGAGAGCCCCATCCTGCTTTAAAAGACACTGAAACACAAAAATATAAAGTGTTTTCTGCAAAGAGAAAAAGAGCAGAGGAGGAAATGGAGGAAAAAAGAGAAAGAAGGAGACAGGAGGACAAACACGCTTCATAAACACGTGTACATGAAGGCTACCACATCTGCTACAGATGTTAGAAGGATAAAGTCATACTTAGACACAGTATGTGTGCGTGTGTGTGTGTGTCCCGGTCAGAAATGATGACTGCTGTCAAGGGGAAGAAGAAAAATAGATAAACCATAACCAATACAACAGGGCGACGCAGAGCTACAAGCAGGAAAACAGGAGTGTGGTCCAAGATTTAAACTCTGCACCATTGCTTCCCCCCAAAGGCATTGCTTCTTGGAAAGACCTGAAACACAGTGTTTAGAGCACAAGATGCTGAAACTCCTAATTGAGGAATTTTAACGGCCTTTTCATCATAATAAAATAAAATCCAATGCTTCAAACAAGAGTCTTGACCGTGTGAAACTAAAACCAGCCCTCACACTGATGAGTTTTGATGTTACATACAATTCTGGTAAAAAAGGACAATGCTTTCAGAATATTTGAAGAGAGAGCATCAAAAATGTAATTGAATGACACAGTGAAGGGTTTCAATGTCACTTGATAAAACTGCTGTTTTCAAGTTTCGAATAGGACATAAAGTTAGACTCCATAACAAACTGAAAACATACCAGCCGATCAAGTTTCTTTTCCACAGTTATGTTAGCAATACAACAAACATGGGCATCATGTTGGGCACCATACACATTATCCTGATCCTTATTAACTAGCAAATATGAGTTAAGTCATCATTTCTCTAATCAGGTCCACTAATTGCAACCCGGTTTCACTCCGAAAGTTGAGAAATCCAGCACTTGGGCAGTGACTTGCGGCGTCAGACAGTGACGAACAAAAGCTTTCCTTTAATGTCGCTGTTATAGTTTAACAGCGCTTGGCAGCGTCAGGGGGAAACATGGCGGTACAAGAACAAAAGTTAAGGCCCCTAAAAAAGTCGGGCGGGCGGCAGACGTATAACAAGTATAACAATCACCAATCAACTTTCT